TTTTTTCAGAAGGTGGAGTTGCTATCTAGGACAACATGATTCGACATATGTGTGCCATCTTCAGGTACTTGAGAATGTATCGCTTAACCGGCTATGAGCGATATCGCTGCGGTTACTTCACTGCTGTGGGGAAGCCCGTGGGTTTTAACGTGCCCAGAACACAACGGCTATAAATGGGGCAATAGCAAGAAACCAGTTGCTTTCACACTGGTTTCTTGCTCCGCGTATTGTTCGACCCTGTAGATGGAGGCGACATGTTCTTCCGAAACTTCGATCGACTTTCAGCGGACTGTGCGACATTATGTCACAGAAGACAGAACTCTTCTGGGGACCTTGGGGACCCATGTGGTTGTGAGACCTCTAGGCTCACAGGTGACGTTAAGGTTGTCAGCCTTACGCGCCGGCCACCCTTAACGTCCCAAGAATATTCCTGGTACTCATTTCTGTTAGAGGCTCAGTGCGACTGGACGAATTACGTCAATTGAAAAATCCAGTTACCTCATCGGAAATCGAACCCGCGGCCTTCCGGCTTGTATCACAGTGCCTCAACCAACTACACTACCGAGTGCCCCCCATTATGTTACTATGACAGTTAAATAGCGGAGGTTAGAATGTGTTTGGCTTGGACGAAGCAAGAAACGCTGTCGAATGTTCGGTAAAAAAAAATCTTGATAATATGTTACCGTGGAAATTAAGGGGAAGTTGAAGGACAGTATTGTACAATATAGTTGTAGTTGAAAATATGCTCTTAAGATGCTGACTAAAGCTCTGGTTTAGTGGTGGGGATTTGTGCTGAGGCTTGGTGATTTTCTTGAAAAATTCTGAATTCGTTTGCCTTATTCGTAGAAATTTAGAGATCTGAATTTGTGAAAGTGGTCAAATTTCAGACCCCCGTGTTTAAGCCTGGGTAGCCCCCTACACAGAATGCTGCACTTAATGTTAGCAAATTAAGTGGGTATAATCTAAGACCAAAAGTCTCGGTGTGGTTATTACTATTCAACAATTCCCTAGTTCAAATCTAAGCACGGAGACCAACTCCCCTGACTGAAAATTTCCATCGCTTCTACCTTTCTCTTCTAGCTCCTTCTCTGGCTGTCTATTTTGTCTCCACCTCTTCCTTTACGTTTCTTTTCGTTTCCTTCCCTCGGTTTGAAACAAGTTGCGTGCACGCCACAGAGTTTGTATTGTTGTCAGGTATGTATAATTTTTTGTTACTTGTCATTATAACCTGACGTCACGATGACGGAGGAAGTGGCGAACGTAACAACCACATGTACTTCATAGCCATATTTTACAATACATGGGTTGGTTCTTCTGATGGGAGCTTGTCGTGTTTCAGTACGTGTATATCGATTGCTGATTGTAATCAGCCCCCTCCCCTAAGACACAGGTGTTTTCTTTGCACCCGGCAATGCTCAATCACGCTCTTACCTGTTGAGTTTTAAGATATCTTAAAATCTTAAACAGATTTCTTTGTTCCTCCGGTTGTGAGGGCCACTTTTACGCAGTTTTATTATATTCTTCCGTTTTTTTTATAGAAATACAAGAATTTATTTTCTCGTGTTTGCTTGGCAACGCGACAAGAAATTGCGTGAGTTCTCGAATTTGAATGAATATTTATTGGACAGTCACTCTTACACTCACACGTACAACTATTCTCCACTTATAGCGTCACTTAGACGTTTCTTCTCCAGTGTTTTTTTATTGCTAGTGGGGTGGGACTAAGTCCCTTGTACTGCGGCCACTTCTGGCCTATTGTACCAGCCCCAGGTGATAGGTGAGGGTGATTGTGGAGCAATTGGTGGAATGAAGATTGGCAGGGGAACCTAATTACTCGGAGAAAACCTGCCCCAGCGCCACTTTGTCCACCAGAAATCCCACTTGACCAGACCCGGGATCGAACCCGGGCCGCCGCGGTGGGAAGCCAACGACTAACTGCTTGAGCTATGGCGCGGCCTTTCTCCAGTGTTACAGAACTTCTCTAGCCGGATAAGAACTTTCCTGCTGAAGTTGAATACAAACTCTGCTGGTCTGTCAAAGTCAAAGTCACATTGTGACTGATGGTTAGTCAGTATGTCTTGGTGTCTAGCCCCATCTGGGACTCATCACCAGATATTAATTATTACCGTTTGACAATGTTGTATTTTAGCGTCCTGTTGCACTGATTTTCATCCATGATATGTATACAGTTGCAGTCTTGTAGTGCACTCAGTTTCACCTGTTACTTCACTACATGTTTCGGCAACATAGTGCCATCATTAGGTGCCCTAATTACGCTAATCTATTTCATTGCTTGCATTTATAGAATTATTTAAAAAGTATTTAAAAAGTGCGTATTTGTCAACTGTGTGTAAATTTATTATAGTTGACAAATACGCACTTTTTAAATAATTTTAAATAATTTAAATGAACACTTACATATATTTCGGAGTGATTCGAGTGTAACTTCCAGAATATTTATCTTAGCGAAGAATGTTTGAGACAGACGTACAGAAAGGTGAAATAGATTTTACGTTTTTTTACGCGTTTCCCACGATTTTTTTTTTCGTGATAAACGCAAACGAGCAGACACACTTGAATTTTAAGCTATTCGTATAAGCTGAATTTTTGTAGCCATCCATGCGATGCAATGCGCACATTCCTTTCTTTTAGTCCAATACATAATTATATCCCACTATTTTTATGATAAATTATGGCATTAGAAGCAATTCCCCGTGTTTATTTCTTCAAAGCAAGTTCATTTCCGACAATCTGATATTCACCCAACTATACAAGGAAATCCCCGTCTGTTGTGGTCATTGCAGTGTCCACAAGAGCTGACCACTGAGAATTATCCTGAGCCAGTTGAATTCAATCCAGATCCTGTTTCTTGGAGATACGTTTTAATATACTTCTCCAATCTAATCCTAGGTAGCAGCGTGACAAAGTACCTTGAAAACAGACGCATAGAGAAATTACGAAAACACTTACTCATATGAATACGTTTTAAATAGACATAATTTCATTTGTAATATTGTCGTATGTTGCCTGCAGGAATGGAGGCATGCGGTAGCGTAGTTGGTTGAGGCCGGAAGGTCGCGGTTTCAATTCCCGATGAGGTCATTGGATTTTTTCAATTGACCTAATCCTTCCAGCCGCACTGTGGCCCTGGGGTCGACTTAACCTCTAACAGAAATGAGTACCAGGAATATTCTTGGAATATTCTTGGGAGTAAAGGGCCGCCGGCGCGTAGGGCTCACAACCTCACCGCCATCTGTGAGCCGATTGTCTAGATAATGTGGGACCCTCAACGTCTCACAACCCTATGGGCCTTCACGGCCTGTTACAGGGATACCTTTACTTTTACTTACTTTACCTGCAGAAATAGATTGTTCTAGTAAAAGACTGAAGAATCTTATAATTAAGCTCTGTGCCACGGAGACGTATGGGAGATTGGGAATAAAACTCTACACATTCTTAGTCTTGTTACAAGATGGATTTGAGTGATCAGCTTCATATTGTGTTACTGTAGGGAGGAAGGCCACCGGTGTCTGTTTTAGAGAATGATGCTTTTACTTCAGAACCGATTTAGAGAGATTCCATTTTATTTTAATTCCAGATAATGAGTTTCGATTAGGCAGGCTCTGGTTATCTCTGTGAGCATTCTACATAAACTATCGATTGTTTAATATAGAACGAAGATGTAAGCTTTGCTCACCCCCGAGACTGTGTAGCTTAGAACCTGCAGCCTTAGAATAGGTTTAGGCTCATTATTTTTGTATAATAATAAGAATTGTGACTCAAATACTGCGTTTTGAAAATATATTTTGAAATAAACCTGCTTCTGAGTTGATCAAAATAGGGCAATATAAAGGTCATATATCTTAAATATTCTGTTATATATGTCTACTTGGGGCAAAGGGAGGAAATAGGTAAAGACTTATGGAAAGGAGCTGAAAAGCATTACTTTATAAAATTACTTCTCATTATCTCGCAACGCGAAGACCGTTAAGGACATACATGACAGTATCTCTCTCTGATTGAATACCGAAATGTACGAGTTCCGCCAGTTAAAAATAACGAAATGAACATAGCACCGGTTTGTGCTTGAATGGAGAATGCCCGTTTTCGGATAAACTGGAAGTTGCATTGTAGATACTCCGTGCCCTCCCTTACTTGTCGGGACTTGAACTGGTGGTGCTAACTGGGAGCCCAACATGAATTTCTGGAGACGGGACAAGGAAGGATGAGATTAAGCCGGAGATGGTGCATTGAAAGTGACGCTGTGGCGCGAGAGAGCACGGAACGACGCACCGGTACGCCCCCTCGACGTCGCAGCGCATGCGTAACCTGATGACATCGACCAATCCAGACGCCGCGATGGGATGCCGAAATGGCGAGCTGATCTCGTTCGTACACAGACAACCAATTATCGACCTTACAAGAAGCGTATAACAAGGGTCAGATTCGTATGAAAGCTCCTAGTGGTATATAAATTTAATTATCTTGTCATTAGCAAGCCCTATTGGTTACCATGGATGTTCCTCCCTTCCTTCCCTGATGTGTAGTGAGGGCCTGGCGGTTATCCTGTATCCTAAACCATCCATCCCCCGTAGTGGCTATGGTAGGACCTCTTCCCCTCTTTTGAAATACCGCCACCACCCCTTCTTCTGGAGGGTGCTTGCTTCCATTCTGGGAGGCATCAGTAATGTGCTCCCCTATCACACAAGAACGGGACCCACTTGCACGATGATTTCCGTATCCTATGATCCAGTTGCGGCCACCCTTTCCCGCGTTCTGGTGAGCCCAATGGTTTAAAACCGACGGTTCGGAGCACGGAATTAGGAATAAAGACAAGACTTAAATAATTTTGTTTTGTCCATGAAGCACTACGCACTTTCGGTGTGCTGCGTCTCGAGGGAGCCTTGCCGGTGATGGTTCGTGCGGTGGAGTGATGGAAGACGTTTTAATTTAAGGGAAGAAGAGAGGGGTGAAAAAGGTAGGGAGGGAGAAACCGAGGGAGTAGAGGAAACAAGGACATTGGAGTACGAGAATCCAGGAAATCCTCAGCAACTGGAAGTAACTTTACTTTGTGGTGGAGGTGGCGGGGCGCCTCCGGACAATTGTGCCACACGACATTCACCTGCACGGCTTCCGCTGTCTCTTCAGCCACGAAGGTACAATAATTTTGTAGCAGTAGTAGTAATAATAAAATTCAATTCTTTATTTTTACGTGCTAACTAAGCATCTAGATAAGCTCGTAACAACAACAACAACAACAACAAAAACAACATAAGAATGTGGCTTTGTATTCCTCGTGAGCTTCACCAGTTTATTGCAAATATAAATTTGTTGTTTTATATCTAAATAAATGCACATGTCTTATTGCATTGCTATATCCATAAATTATTGTTTCGTATATTTTGTTAAATATAAGTCATATCGAAAAGTACGTTTGAAATAAAGGTATAATGTTATTTATTTATTTATTTATGATTTATTCATTAATTTATAATATAAGAGTTACTATTATTAACAAATAAACATAGTTACCGTAAGAAACGTGACTTTCGGTTTTTTAGTTATCAGTTTTAGTAAAAGAAACATGGTAAGCAGCGGGGGAAATGCAGTGCTAGGTCAGTTAGCTACATTAAGAGTATACCAATATTATTCACGAATATTCATACAATATACTTAGGACATAAGACCAAGCAGGCTGCTGCAGAAGTAAGACGATAAACCTGAAGCTTAGCCATATTTCCGGTTTGCCGTTACTGAGATTTTCATGGTTTTCTTCAGTCCCTACCAACCGCTAACAATAACAAAGCCACGGTGGCCCTTCTCTTTCTGAATTCTTAAAGATCCACGTTGGTGATCTTACATACCAGTCAATATTATAAAAATATTGTGGTTGATACAGTGTACTTATATAGCCTAGAAATAAAGCAATAAATCATGACAGTAAATGCAATAATCTCATAATTAATAAACATTAATGAAAATAAATTTCTGTAGTAGTCACCTTCAGGGCTAAAGCTTGCCGTCGCCCACTGGCCCCAGGTGACTGAATTCTGCAGGAGTGTGAGAAGAATAATCATTGACAGTAATGGACGCTGTGTCAGCTTTCCAAATCTGTATGTAGCAGCATAGCCTCACTATGTTTCTAATGTCGGTATTCGAGTGGCAAGATGAATGAAAGTGAATTTGTCCTAAATACGTGCGTAAACATAAGTGATACAATGCAAAGGAGGAAGGAAACTGTTAAGGTTTACAGGCACTGGTCTTTATTCTTGTCATGTAGATAAAAGCTTTACGCACGTCTCGGAGACATTGTATAAGTACATTTATTTCCCCTTTTTTTTGTTAGGATTAGAGGGAATGATAATGGGCCATTAGCTCTCCGTCACCCAAGTCAGCCGTGACTCCTGTGCAGTATCTTATTCCAAAGTGAACTTTGGTTACAGTTCCAATATCTAAGGAAACAGATATTTTAAAATCCTTCCTTATTTCAGTGTTAATATTGTTTTCAGAGTTGTTTGGTGGTATCACTTTTGTTACCTTTAGGAGGAAAATAAACAGATATATTCCTATTGTTGTTGCTGTTTAGACTGCTACATAAGCGAACAAACAATGTCAACAAACAGTGTTTGATAACACACAGTTGAGCTAGAAATTTTTTGTGCTGAAGGGTTCTGACGATGGTGGATAACACAGAATTACTGGTTTTTTGGACTGAGGAAGGAAGACACCTACTCAGATGGGCCCCTCAGAAAGCGTTAATGACAATCGTTGGACAATTCCTGTCAGATTTACCTACCTATTTCAACCTATAAGACTAGGCTAGTTCAGCGGGAGATAATAAAAAACCATTAAACTTAAGACGGAAACAGATCCAGTTTCCGAAACGTTGTGTTTTCTATTTCCAAGAATTCCGGATGATGGAGAAAGTCCAAAAACCCAGTGATTCTAGAAATTGTTATCAGAACATATGTATTGGATTTTCTAGCACAAGACTCCTTGTCATTGCATTTGTATCTGTGAAGTAGGCTACATATTAAGAAACAAAATTGTTAACTTCTCATAAGCGGTAGGGTCCATTCAAGTTTAGTAGCGGTGTTTCTAAAACGAATAATTTACGTAATTAATGGGAATATCGTGGGTTTGCGACCTTTTGAGGGTGAGAAATTGGTTTCCTTTGTGACACAATGTACAGATGTTTTATTTTCAAGGAAATGGGCATAATCATAATCAGGAGGCTCCTCCATCGTCAGAGTCTGCTGACAACTTTCAAACTTGAAGATTTAAAACAATTAACACTATAATACTAGACTCTCGTTTCTTCTGGAAATGTAGAAATATTTTACAAATTCTGGCTTTAAATAGTGACATCTCAGTAGATTCAGTTGGAGTAGTGGAGACAAATATGGTGGTAATGATAACAACACTGACAATGATGAAGTAATATAAATAATAATACTATAATAATGATTGCGTGGTCAAGTTACGGATGTTTAAAAATACTCTAAAACTGTGTTAATATGCTGAAAAGTTCTGCATTATGTTAGACAATCAGTACAGTCACATTAAACTAATGAATAGTGTTACCAAAAAAATAAAATATTAAACACAAGAGCGGAATTTGTAAGATTCTTTCTTCAGTTGGTACACTAAACATTGGTAAAATATGGCCTTGGATTTGTGGCTGTACTCCTTGGTACATATGCAGTTGGAATACGGACTGAATGTTGCTCTTCTGTTCAGACACTATTGCGGAAATTAAAAAATGTAACTTTATTCTAAGTCTGTAGAGCAATAGCCATGTCTTTTAGATAGAACCGAATGTTGGACGTTTAAGAATATATTACCTAGAAGAACCTGGATACAAAAATGTGCTTCGTGGGATTGCATAGGATACAAATTACGGGTAATACAAAAAAAAATAAATAAAAAAAATAAATTCGCTTAGTGGGGAGTGGAGTCCAATTGGGTCCACTAGGCACGGCGGCTACTGATTGGCCTATTGTAGCCTGTCCCGGGTGATTATGATGATGGAGAATTTGGTGGAATTAAGATTGGTAAGGGAAACCGAAGTACTCGGAGAAAACCCGCCCTAGCGCCACTCTGTCCACCACAAATCCCACCTGACCAGACCTGGGATTGAACCCGGGCCGGGAGGCCAGGTACTAACCGCTTGAGCTATGGCGCGGCCTTCGGGCAACAGAAAGTGAATGTTAGAGAAAAACTGGAAATATCGTATATCGATAAAATAATGAGAACGTACCTAAAAGTAAGTGGCTAGAACATTTTGAAAAATATCTCTAAACCGAAACCTGAAGCTGCTTTACCAGTATAAACTGCAGTTTAGAAAATTCGATTTATGCCTTTCAAGAAGTGAAACAGGTTTTCAAATCATTATAACCCGAAGAGGCAAGAGCTTAAACTGTGATGTTCATGATGACACTGATGATACGGGAGGCTGCAAACTCGAATTCATTTAAGCTTATTCTTAGATTCATTTCCACAAGATTTCACGTCTTCTTTCGGCGGCGTCTGAACTCCAAATAAAATTGTAAAGGCAGTAACTATACACATTTTCTGCCTGCGAGGAAAATTATTTTTAGTACCCAAATGTAATTTGGAGGAATTTTACTGAGAAATGGTATTATTATTATTATTATTATTATTATTATTAACAACAACATCATCATCGTCGTCGTAATTTCATTTTTATTTCGTTCGTGTCTTGTTTCTTTTATATATGGACAAATACCGTCTTAAGTGCAACAATTTTATTGTAGTTTTTACTTCTTTTTCCTCCTCCACACTACATGTTTCGGCCCTAAATGGCCATCATCAGGTGTGTATCACTCACGTAACTGTTACACTGCTTGTTAAAAATGTAAAAATCCCAGTCTTTCTAATTGTATAAAATCTTTGTTAATCTACACGCGTCGATTTGATTTTTAAATTAGCACTTTTTAAACCTTAATTCAAGTTAAAATGTCTATAAGATCTTTGTTCTCTTTCTTTTTCAAATTAAAATTTTTCAGGGTACATGCCCTATATCTACGGTGCTGCAGCGGCCACTTCTTGTTTTTATCGCTGCTCATGTGTTGTTTATAATATACAAATATTTGTGTTACTATCTTATGTTATGTCTTGTTATGTTATTTTTATTTCTTTATACTGTTATTTGTACTTACTCAGTGTTGCACTTAAGACGGTATTTGTCCATATATATTGTGTGAGTGTAACAGGATGCTGAAATATAATATTGTTTCTTTTAATTATTCATGATCGTTTTGTAATTGGCCTTTGGGCTATTAAGTTAGCACTCAAGTAAAGTGGGCCTGATAGTGATATAAAACGAAACTGTGCCAAAGAACAGTTATAATAGCCTATTAAGAAGTTTCTCTATGCTTCAGCATCATTGCTTGCATTTGTTGTCTGGGTATCATTTGGAGGTGAGCAGTCAGAGTCATGCTTCGGCCGCTTTACCAATTGAACAGATCACTGGATGGGCCCCACAAGTAGTCTGGTCCTAGTGGTACCGAAGAAAAAATATGTGCCCTTTCGGGAACTCGAACCCCATCATTCAGCCCATATCCAGTCGTTTTACACATTTCGTGATGATTGTAATGGCAATTCTGCTGCTGTTAACTATAATTCAATTCAATTCAATTCTTTATTATTAATGTGCCGAGTCAACAGCCGCAAGGCCAATTACAGACACAGCACAGTGCAGAAGAATGAATGACATTATACACAATCTTATTAAAAGTCGAATAAAAATTACAGGTTAACACTTGAAGAAATAATAATGAATAAAGTAAAAGAAAACAAACAAATAGTTGATAATTATGACAGTAATAATAAGTTCATTATCATTAAACTAAGTGTTATTACGAATTCAGGAATGAAACATAAATTAAACATAAATATTTAATTAAGAAATGAATAATATAGAATTACAGAGGATAATAATAATATACGTAATTCATTTTGTTTTACTGGACATGCAAATAATAAAATATTAACAGTTATACTATATTTAAAAT